ACTGATTCCCCACTGTTGGTTCAACCCCAAAACTTGTTTGTATTCAAAATTAATTATGACAATGCATATTTATATTGAAACAAACTGTGATAAAGGGAATTATATTATATAACAAAGGGCAAGGTCACCAGAGTTCAACTATGTTATATTTTGTCATGTAATCCACATAATAGTATTTTTTTTTTAATTTTGTACTTTCACTCACAGATGAAATACGTAAACAACTTGTTCAAGTTGGAACACAGCTTGGTATGCATGATGTTAGACTTGCAGAACAGGATCTACGTTTCCAAGTGTTGGAGACAGCTTGTTATGATGGGAAACTAATATGGAAGATCAAAAACTTTGCAAGACGTAAACAAGAAGCGCTAACTGGAAAGACTTTATCTCTTTATAGTCAACCATTCTATACCAGCAATCATGGCTATAAGATGTGTGCCAGGGTGTATTTAAATGGTGACGGTATGGGGAAAGGAACTCATATGTCATTATTTTTTGTCGTCATGGGAGGCGACTATGATGCTCTATTACAGTGGCCGTTCAGACAAAAGGTTAGTACCTGTAACGGTTCAGTCGTATTTTTATGACAACAGGATGAAAATTCGTAGATTGTGAAAACTGGTAAAGTAGCAAAGTTTTAAATTGTAACACACAACTGTGTACCTGTAAATATGTAACTGTTCTCGGGGACGTAGCTATGTCACAGGATGTTCTATGTTGCTAAGATGCTCACCACGGTATCGTGTACTTCTATGCCCTCTGTGCGAGCTGCTGTGGAACGCTGGTCGAAGAGCCGGTGAAAACTAGGTAAAGTTAGATATAACAGCACAAACTCAATTTTGAGGTAATCCTAATTAACCAAATTTATATACATTTCACATCTTGGTACACTGGTCGGGATTATACAATGTAACGTTGAATTCAAACCCACCTACTATATAGTGCATTACTATATATATTTGTTCGAAATACCGTGGATATAGTAGAATACTGATATTAAAAGTGAAATTAATACATAGATCATGTTATACAAGTATTTCCAGAACCACCTGTTCCGAATTAATATGATCACATTTGACGTTGTACTAGTATGTCTGGTGGTCCTAATTATCTGTTTGATTGCATCAGCAACTCATAGACTCGTTCGCAGTTAGTGCATAGAAACAAATGAGCCAATGAATGTAATTTGTTCTGGCTTTGGTTTGAACTAAACTGTTACCTGTCATGCAGTAATGCGATTTCAGTGATTATTGTACGACTGCCTATGAACGAGACAGCAGGTTGTATAATGTACTCGAACAAAAATGTTGCGTGATACTGCTGTTAGCACTATGATAAGTGTTTCCGCACCTCATTAAGGAGAATTGGGGGCCTCCCATTGCTTGCTGTGAACTCAGAAGTAAAAAAAAAAAATATGCCTACTTACATTCATATTTAATGAGAATGGACATATAAATGATCTAGTTGTACTTGTCGCCAAGAGTAAAGGTTTCCACGGGACAACTGACAAATAGTTCTCTCTCAATGTGTATGCTGCCCCTCATTTTTAAATCTTTCATTTCCACAGGTTACTCTAGTACTGCTTGACCAAGAAACCGGTCGTCGTAATCTCTCTGATACATTCAGACCAGATCCGACCAGTAGTAGCTTCAAACGTCCAACCGGTGACATGAACGTAGCTTCTGGCTGTCCGCTATTCGTCTCTCAATCTGTACTGGAAACTCCAACTTACATCAAGAATGATACGTTGTACATCAAGGTGCTTGTAGACACGTCAGATCTGTATGGTCCATAACACAGCTTTCATTATCAATGTTTGAAGAGGGCTCAGTCTGAAGAGATTCATTTTATGTTGCATTTTCTCACCACGAATGCATGCACTATACTACAGCTCATTGCAAATAAGAAGATTGCAGTTTAAACCCAGTAAGAGTTAGTCTGATTACATTTGATATTTCTGCACAAATTCAATTCAACATAAATATATTTTAGAGTTATTAATTTTGCTCGTAACCAATACTATTAAAATATTGTGTCAAATAATATGATAGTGTATCTTTTATTTGATTTACTAGTAAATAATCTCCATGTGAATATATAAATATACAAAATATACAAAACTGCTACTGTAAAATCTGTATTAGGAACCGTTGCTTCTATAAAAATGGTACAATGGAACAGAGGGGATGCGGCTTCTACTAGAGCATCTACACATGAGAAATGATGAGTTTTTGGTCCTCAATTAAATCTGAAAGAATGAGTGCGACTTATATTAGGGATGCGGCTTCTAATACAGATTTTATGATATATTAGTGTTTGTGAGGTAACAGCACATTTTAACTATGCCCCCCCCCTAATACATGGTATTTCAAGGCCATCTGCTTCTCTTCAGAAACCCTCCCCTCTGACATAACATTGATAATGAAAGCTTCATCTTGCTGTGTGTGGGGGAGGGCACCGATTAGAGTAATCATGTAGTTATGCGAGTTGTTGATTATAAATTATTAAATATTACTGATTTGTGTTTCCTGTGTCCTCCAGGAACATCAATGTATGACACTGTATAAATATAATGTTTCAGATGTTATATACGTTTTGAACAAGATATTAATCCAGTCAGTACCCTGGTATGTTTCAAATGTTAGACAGTGGCAATTGTTGGTCATTATTAAAGGCTTTGTTCGTCTCATATATGATGAATCTGGCCAAATTATGTATTGTGAATGTGTGTCATGCATCTCGTGTTTGTTGCAGTTTCCTCGATTAGCATTTTACTCTTAAATAGGACTTATTTCAGTTAATGGTAATAGTGGATAGGATGTTATGTAATCGGTGGCAAAGTGAAATATGACTAACCCTGAAACAATAATCTGGAATTTTTGATAATCTTGTATACATTTGTTAATTGATGGTTATTACTCTATGCAAAGTAGAAGCTCAAGTTGAACAAATTAGTTTGATTTCTGGAAATAAAAGATTTGTTAGACATAAAAATATAAAAACAGAATTAAGAAATTTTTACATGAAAATCTAATGTTAGTAATGTGCTCTCCAAGATCTGTTTTCAGATAGATACAATCTGTTTAAAATATTATGTGTCATATGTCATGAATTTAATTTCATTTTACATATTTTATTTTATTTGTAATAGAAATAAAGTGTATGATAAAAATAATTAAAAACATATTTGAAGAATAAATAAAGCTCAAACTAGGATTTCATTTTTAATCACTTTGTTTTTAGATAATGTAACTTGATGACTGATCGATATTTTCATTAGATAGTACAAAATATTTACAAGTACTTTTCATTCCAAAAAGCTGGCCAGTATTTCCCTATGTTTCGTTTACATATATTTCTATGTTATTTAGGCACTTTTATACAACTTGTTTTGTATTATTCTATGAAAACTTTTTTGAGAAACATTGTTACAGTATTTAATTAAATTCATTTTTATTATAGAATTACAGATGACCTCATTGTTTCTGTTATTTTTTCATAAATATCACTAGTATTTACATTACTCTCACTTTTTGCCATACATGTCTATTTTGTATAATTTTTCTATGTTGGATTGTTGAGTTGGTTATTAAGTCTACAATTTGTTTTATTTCACTTGGTTTAAAAAGGCAATAAATATGCATTTGTGTAGAAAAAAAACAGTTGTATGTTGCGGATCATGAACACTATATCAGTAGTATCATTACTCTATGTAAAAAGGGGCTATTTTGCGACCAATCAGGACATGCATTATCTGCTGATTTTTTTAGCTCCGCTGTCGACTTTGTCGAGCGGAGCTTATCATACGAGTGATTGTCCGTCGTCGTCGTCGTCCGTGTCAATGTTTTACTTTTTCGACTTCTTCTTGAAAACTACAAGCCTGAATGCTTTGATACTTGGTGTATATGTACCTTGGGTAGACCTCTCTCAGATTTGTTCATTTCATGATGATATCTTCAATTCTCTAATTTTGGTGAATATTTTTGTCATTTTTAGTAAAAAGTGTTATTTTTGACTTCTTGTTGAAAACCGCAAGTCCAATTGCTTTGATATTACATATATAAGTACTACATGTCGACTTCTCTCAGATTTGTTCATTTTGTAATGATATCTTCAATTCTCTAATTTTGGTGAATATTTTTGGTAAAAAGTGATATTTTCGACTTCTTGTTGAAAACCGCAAGTCCAATTGCTTTGATATTACATATATAGGTACTACATGTGGACCTCTCTCAGATTTGTTCATTTTGTAATGATATCTTTAATTCTCTAATTTTGGTGAATATTTTTGTAATTTTTGGTAAAAAGTGATATTTTCGACTTCTTGTTGAAAACCGCAAGTCCAATTGCTTTGATATTACATATATAGGTACTACATGTGGACCTCTCTCAGATTTGTTCATTTTGTAATGATATCTTTAATTCTCTAATTTCGGTGAATATTTTTGTAATTTTTGGTAAAAAGTGATATTTTCGACTTCTTGTTGAAAACCGCAAGTCCAATTGCTTTGATATTACATATACATGTATAGGTACTACATGTGGACCTCTCTCAGATTTGTTCATTTCATAATGTTATCTTTAATTCTCTAATTTTGATGAATATTTTTGTAATTTTTGGTAAAAAGTGATATTTTCGACTTCTTGTTGAAAACCGCAAGTCCAATTGCTTTGATATTACATATATAGGTACTACATGTGGACCTCTCTCAGATTTGTTCATTTTGTAATGATATCTTTAATTCTCTAATTTCGGTGAATATTTTTGTAATTTTTGGTAAAAAGTGATATTTTCGACTTCTTGTTGAAAACCGCAAGTCCAATTGCTTTGATATTACATATATAGGTACTACATGTGGACCTCTCTCAGATTTGTTCATTTTGTAATGATATCTTCAATTCTCTAATTTTGGTGAATATTTTTGGTAAAAAGTGATATTTTCGACTTCTTGTTGAAAACCGCAAGTCCAATTGCTTTGATATTACATATATAGGTACTACATGTGGACCTCTCTCAGATTTGTTCATTTTGTAATGATATCTTTAATTCTCTAATTTTGGTGAATATTTTTGTAATTAGTCCCCGTTCGGACGCAGTCCGAAAACGGGGACTTATGTTTTGCCCTGTGTGCGTCCGTGCGTCCGTGCGTCCGTGATCACCTGTATCTCGAACATGCATGGACCGATTAAGTTCAAACTTCACTCATACATCACACATTATATGGGACATATGCACATGCATTTTTTTCATGATCCGATTAACGATAGCCGAATAGCGGCCATTTTAAGGCCGAAAATGCATCAAAATCGCACATTTTCACCATTCCGGACCCGGATCTCAGTTATGCATGGACGGATTTTGTTCAAATTTGGTACATACATTAAACATAATAGGACCTTGATGCACGTCATTTTTTTTTTTGGATCGGGTTCGAAATGGCCGACTGGCGGCCATTTTGTTTTAAAGAATTCAGTTCTGGATCCGTATCTGAGACATGCTTGGATTGATCGAGTTCAAACTTCACACACACAAGGTACATCAT